GTTTCCCAGACCGTAAAGTCACAAACATGTCCACTAACCTCAAGTCTGACGCTTTAGTTGGCTGCAGTCTGCACCGTTCCCCTTCAATACTGGACCAATATCAAAAAAGTCTGTCGTCCCCATTACTCACTTTGACAGAAAAACATGGGAAATTAAGGTCAAGGCTAAAAAAATACCAAAGTCACCCTTTAAGAAAGTCATTTAACCCCAAGGCTGATGACAATGTGGCTGCTCCCAGGAGGGACAGTTTGGTATTCTGTGGTTGTACTGGTTAGGAGAGCATTGCAGACACACCTTTAAACCGAGTAATTAAGATATTGACGCATGTGTACATTGCATGAACTCAACACCCTGCTTTTTCTTGACTGCCAAGCACTAAAGATGGCATTATTATACACATGGTTCAGAATGACATTTCTTTTAGAACTTAGGAATTTTAACGAGAAACTCAAACTGAAGTCGTGTGCAATGTGCAATTCAAGCTTGTCTGCACAGCATACACACATTTGTGTTGATGGTATTATTGGTCCCACCAGTAGGTCTCGTCGTGTTGCAGAGTTTAAAGTCAAACATGTCACTTGTAATTAGCAACATATAACCCTCACTGTATGTTTGTATGTGTCTGTATGTCTGAGTCTGTCAGAAGTCAGGTACAGCATTAGTGCAGCGTACTGTGTTTGTCTCATCCACACGGAGCTGAAGGTTTCTTGGCCTTCTCACAGCAGGAAACCTTTCACTTTCCCTCTCTGCATCACTTCCCTCTCCATCGCCTCTCTCTTATTCTTTATATACATTTAAAGTGGATTTAGTAGCACTACTTCTACCAAGTGGTCAACAGCCAAACTAAACTTTATTTGAATTCACTATATAACAGTTTGCTTTCACCACCTCCTGGCCAGCATTGCTGTCCATCAGACAGAAACTGGAAGGAGGACAGATATCCCTGAAGCTTCTTCTGTGTCCACACATACCAGTCTAATCCCTAACACCGACCTGCAGTCTACAACTCCACCACTTTGCCGACCAGTTTCTGGCAAGTTACATTAATGTGTGTGAGTGTTTCAAGGTTACAGTGTTCTGTTTCCAAACAGAGCGATGTTGAGTGAGAGACGCGCCGAGTTTGTTCAGTGTTTATGATTTATGGGAACAGTAAGAACACACAAACACAGCGGAAGACCAGGGGACTTACTCCTTAAAAGTACATTACATTTGTTCACATGAGAGGATTCAGCGCAACTTATGCTGACTAATCCTGAAAAATCGATCTTAATAACTTGGAAGATTTGATAAAAATGAGAAAGATCCTTCTCTCTGTTTTGCTCTCTCAGCTCCAAGAAACTAGTAGAGGATGGCGTGCAATTTCAAAGAGCATTAAAGTCATTTTCCCATCAGCACATTCACATTCCCCGCCATTATGGCAATACAGAGTCAACTAGTATTGGAAATGTCACTATAGAGATAGTATGTGGTGTTAATGAATAGAGAGAATGTCAAACACAGGCTTCTGGCAGGGTCCAGCCTTTGCTAAGTCATTTGATATTTTCTCTTAAATGTTGCATTTTAACCAGAAATGGAGACAGTTGCTTCTACAGAAATAGTCCTAAACTGACTACTATCGCTTAATTCAGCCGTTTAGCTGCCCATTGGTGGTGCCCTGACCTGTGAACAGTCAACAGTCAAGCAGTGAAACAAGTTGTACACCTTTATAAAAAAAATAATAATTCTATCATGTTTCATTTAGAGACCTTTCAGCTCAGCCAAGTCAAACGTCAAGGGGAATCACTGCCACACAGTCAGGTGTGATTGTGCATTCACACACACACACACACACACACACACACACACACACACACACACACACACACACACACACACACACACACAAGTGTGTTGCAAGACAGACACATCACTCAAATGGAGGCCTTTCTAGCTGGATTGGTCGAGGTAATATCAGTATGTATATGCGTGTTAGAGAGAGATTAAGAAAGTGTGAGAGAGAGAGTCCCTGACAGGCTGTTGGCCCAGGTCTAAAGGTCTGCACCTTTTAGTTGCTGCAGCTATACGTTGAGTGACACCCTCAAATACCAACGTCCTCACTGGTGGCCCAAACAAAACAGGGTCTGTTCCCTCTACAGTGCGTCAGACTAAGAGAAACTCACACACGCCTAACGCACACCGGCACAAAATCAACCTACTATTCTCTTTCCCATACACTCCCACATTCCCTTACCCCCACCAGGAATCCTCACCTTCATCTTGGCACAGTGCCGCCAAAAGTAACACAAGTCAACTTAAGGTAAATAAAGCAGCTAATCACTGGATGCTTATTAGATGCTGCTCTGCCACAAAAACAGAATACATACATTGGAGGATTATTAATGCTGAATATCCTCTTTAGAAGGAGTTTCCCCTACTCCGTTTGCTGGAGTTTGCCTTCAGTTCCTGCCTCATCGGGCAAGCTGTTCCACTCATCGATCTATGACACCGAGACAGAAGAAGTAGATTGAAGACTGAGAGAGACACAGAGTGTGCGTGATTGACATGGATGAGGACGACAGAGAACTGCAGATTAAGTTCTTTGCCAAAATAACTTTCCTCCAAACAGTGCCATTTTGCCTCCAGATCATAAGAATATTTCCTCCTTTCTGCCAGATTCTTGATTCTCTCCTACAAGCCCATCGATCTACGCTCTTCCCTCTCCTTCCCTTCTCCCACCCAACATCCAACTGTTTCAGAATCCACCACAAAAATAATTCTCAAAAGCCCAACAAATCCATCTTGGGAAAACTGAAAAAGTGTATTACATAATTGCTAAAAATCCAGCTCATCAATTACTTGAGTGTCACGTCTTTCAACTTGCAGCCATCCAACACTGGAACAAAGCTCTTTCCCCTTACCCCTGCATCATTGTAATTAAGCAGAGCCTATTACTCACCCAGATCCCAACGGAGGTGCTACAGTGTGTTTGTGTCACTGTTACATAAGAACCCCCCCACCCCACCCTCCTGAAGTCAATAGAGTATAGAGGAGTCAGTGTGTTTGACAAGGCTCAGACCCTGAAGGTCTCTGTGCATTGCTGCAGGGAAGATCACGTCATGGAGGTGGGCCCAGACACACATTCATCCTCTGACAGAGGGATTCCTTGCCCTTATGGTGCACATGTGTTTGACTGCTGGTGGATTATGACAGTGGAAATACTATATTTGTGTTTGTTTGCTGTGTGCTAATAGTACACACGCATGCCTCATCCTGTATGATAAGGCTTTTGAGATCCAGCTGATAACTTAATCGTTGGGGGGTGTGTGTGTGTGTGTGTGTGTGTGTGGAAGCAGCAGAGTGCTCCTCTACGAGGGAGTTAGCGGAAGAGACATTACAGCTGTCTGCTTTGTGCAATTACTCTAGAATACTTGCATCGACTGCTGCAATTTCTAAATGACATTCAGGCTGCAAAGTTTCTTCGGAGGGATAATGCTTGAGAGTGTGTTGTGTGTATATAGTCTGCTCAGGCAATCAAGCTGCATTTTAAAGGAAAGTATTAACACTCTCCCAATAAAGCTATAAAATGGGCTATTTATTTTTTTAATGATATTTTTCATGTGCTGCGAAAACTACGAGCAGAAAATGTCTGTGTTTGTGTATTTCAACACCGGAGCAAATCAAAGTTACATTTTGACAGCATCGTGCAAGCGTGTGTGTGCATGTATGTATGTCTAGTACAGGAAACATATCTGACACACGGGATTAGTGGCTGCCTTACTTGGTGGAGTGACTTTCATTCTGTTCCAGATGTTTATCACCTCATAAAGGCCTCAAGACCTCTGTGAGAAATAGGTAGGAACACAACCTCCTTTCGCCACACAAACACACACAGCTGCGTCAGTGATATACATGTTGATAAGGAATCACCTCTGTGGAGAGTATCAGCTGGTTGTAAGTCAGTAGAGCAACTATAAACACACAAGCACAAACTTTCGTTTTTGACTCTTGATAGAGCTTCTCTCCATGACAGACACACATGCAGAAGGAGTCTCAGGTGTGGCTCTTTTTGTCAAAGGGATTGTAAAGCACTTTCTTCAAGCTATCACCCAGTATAGCATGACATACTGACAGTGACATAGCAGTGCCAAGTCATGTCTAAACGAAAACAGATTTGTAAACGTGGTTCCCCTCAGGACGAAATATTTGAAATTGGAAACATATCTCGTAATATGAACAGTTGGCAACTTCTGTCTTAGAACAAACAACACCACATGCCCCTTCGCTTGATCAATTGTAAAAAAGTTGAGCCAAAGTCATGGCACGCTTGGCTGTCTCAAAACACCAGCAAACATCTCGTGGCTGGATACACTACCACTCTTGTTCCACCGGTGCCAGTCGTGCGTAATGAGCACGGTGAGGCTGGAGCGCGTCAGCTGGCTGTACAAGAAGAGGTGTCAGTCATCACCCAGGTACAGTATGAATCTTTTACAGTTGCTGAGTTATTTCATGTTACCAAAATAGATCACAATCTCGCCGCGACAAGTCCGAACTGATGTTGAAATGGTGCAAAGGAGAACGCATTCCTCGGGTTTTGGTCTGAATTAATTGAACTTGGGAGGAGGGGGGGGGGGCACCTTCTGATATCGGAGGAATATAATATAGTTGGGCACATTAAAATGTCAGTTTTCAGGCTCCAAATTAACTAGATCAGTCTGCAGTAACTTCACAAAAAGCCACTTTGGTGGTTTAAATATGATGAGGACATCAAGACAACTGCTCTGAGGTGAATGGGGTCGAAGAGGAGACGCCGTGACCTCCGGTGGATTTCATGAAAGAGACTTTTGCCCAGCGGTGAATGAGCAGTGCGAGCCTCAATAATTCTCTTTTGCATTTTTGGATAAACTTCCTGTTACATGCCTAATCAAAGCAGGGCTTCTATACGGGCAGTGCAACTTCTGTTCAAAGGAATCACTTTGATGATGACGCGCTTCAGCCAGCAGAGGAAAACAAAAAGTTCTTACCGAGATACTGTCGGATGTCCAGCAGAATTTTAGGGGGTCCTCCGTTCAGCTGGTAAAAAAGAGAGCCGAAACAGAAGAGGAACAGCGTAGCCATGCAGAAACCATAACCGTGCAAGGAAAATCGCAACGGTATGGCAGAGAGTAAGCTGTACTTTCTGTTGTTTCGCTCTCTAACGTGGTTGGGAGTCTGGTTGTTGCTGTGAAGGGGACTGCTGCTGAAATTCTTCATCATCTCCTCCTCACAAAGCGCCGTGGAAAGTCACCCATCCGCATGTGGAAAGTGAAACTTGTCGCTTTGAGACCATTTGAGGCGGACGCCCAGTTATTTTGGAGACGCGCAGGCAGGCACCCAGCTCTCCTCCACTGCCGCAGCCACAGGGTTGTTTTTTTTTTTTGCGCACAACGTTTCGCTCTCGCTCGGCCCCTCTCGTTTGCGCTCGTTGGATGAGTGTTCCTTCCTTCCGTGCTTCCAGCCGAGTTAAGGGTCCATCCTTCTGCTCTGAGTCTTTTGGGTGTCAGATTACTGAACGTGGAAAGAGGGAAAACTTTCACCTCATACACGATTTGGTTTGGATCGCAGTGCGTAAAACAGCGTCACCCAGTGTTCGGGGAGAGAGGGGGCCGTACAAGCAGTCGGTAAGCTTTCAATAGAACGAGTTTGAGACCCGACTGTGGAAAGAGAACCTAGGTGTGAATTTACAATTTTAATTTCAGTAGGTATGAGAGAGAATTGGCCTTATCCAGTACAAAAGCTTTAATAATAAAAGGTATATAGAACTTTATTAATGATTTTTTTTAGATTGCATATGACATTGAAATGCCATCAGACAAAACCCTCATCCTTAATAGAAACATCAAAGAGACTTAAGACCAGTGTAAAGCAGTTATTAATCATAAAATGTCTGCGTTATCAAGGGTGAAGATGTTTGAGGTGTGTTGAAAAGAAGCTGGTGAGATGCTGCTCACTTCATGTGCAGGAGTGTGTGTGTGTGTGTGTTTTAAACTCTCTCTTTCCCTTGAGGCCAGCTGTAAGGACTTTACACTGAGCAATATATCTTTACACAGCAGGGCCAAAACCCACCATTAGACTACACCTGCACTTCGGAGGCGACAACAGTGATTCAGCACACTAACTACCTCCACAAGAGGCTCATGTGCTTTCACTGGTGACAGTTGCAGGTGTCAAGGGAGCAACAGCGGCTGTAGGAAACAATTTGGCTTGGAAGACAAAAGGTAATAAAGAAGAGCACAATCATTTTGTTGATGGCCCGCTGGCTTGTCTTTTCCACAGGTAAATGAGTTGTGAATTGGGCATTACTTTATTTTGCAAGCTACGCACAATACGTGTGAATGCATTATGGGTTTATAGCCCAATCTCGCCTGCAGCACAGCAGTTTATTACACAGAACAACAGTATGGTTGTCCGTAAGGTCACTGCTGTAAATCAGGTTTAGTCTAATCAGAACAACTGGCTATGGGGTTTCAACCAAATCATTTCTGGTGGTGCGTTACTTTTTCTTTTGGAATGTGGAAGAAGTTAATGTAGAAAACACACACACCAACTCCGACGTTTAAAATGTAATAAGCCCAGATGTGACATACAGCTTTTAGCTGTTTAATCAGTATTGATTCAACAGAAGTTTGTCAAATTAAACAGACATTAGGTTTACAGCATCTACCCTGTGATGACTCAAGGTCTTGCGTACAGTGCTAAAGTCATATTCGTGTAAAAAACATTATTGGAAAATAAAAGGAGACATTTCAACAAAGCCAACCGTGCTTAAGAATAAGAGGCCACTTAATTGAGTTCACCCCACCATAATAAGAATCAATATGATTCTGGGCAAGGGGAATAACACGAGGAGCTGCAAATTCAGCTGTCAAACACTAGTAAACTTTACACGTCAGTCTTCACAAACTTTCATAGAAACTACTTCCGAACTCCCTGGATGACAAGTGACAAGAGAATTTCACAACAAGGATCTATAAAAGTATGATTACATGTTTACTGGTGAGGAATCTTTGGTATCATATTGCCTATTCTCACTATATTCATCCACCGTCATGATGAAGTATGCTTATGATCCTGTTATATAAAGGAAAAGATCAAAACTGATTCTTGGATTCATTGAAGGAATAAAAAGAAAAAAAAAAGAAAATCTTTGCTGTGAAATATTGTGATCCCACAGCAGAATTTGGGGGAATTATCACCACAGACAGCATGCAGACACAGATGCAGCCATGCATGAACTCTGCAGAGGAAAGTGGTTCAGAATAATGGGAAGCAACACAAGCCCAGACAGTCCTCGCCGCAATGAGGTCTCGTCTTTACTCCGAGACATTTTAAATTGGAAGAGCAATTGTATCTGTGGAGCAGTTAGCTTCGTGAACTGGAAGCTAACTGCTGATTACAGCGGTGTGAAGGACAATTATTGCATTGTGACTTCTTTCCTAAAAGGCACTATAGCAACAAGCCAAGCAAGATACGCAACACTGGTTTTGTACTTATTCTTCCTGAAGGAAATGCTTCTTCTGTTGTGTCACTTTCCACTCATAACAATGCCAAACACCTGCTCAGATAGAAGTTATCCAAGTCAAATCTCAGATGCAGTCTTTTGGGATAACATTTGATCAAATTGGGGTACATGGTCTGGTGTGTATTTGGGGCTTCTTGACATGAATAAGAATGGAAAATCTCTGCGTGGTTTCATTGACAACAGCTGCATAGCAACAACAGCCAGTCAGTCGAACTCTGCTGTCTCGGTCTTGAACAGATGTGTCGATTTTTAAATGGAAAGCCTGACACGGCAAGGCAATGTTTTTAGACTACAGGAGTTGTTATTTCGATATACTGCAGTGTGCACATCCCGATAAGGCCCGGTGTTATTGTTCCTTTTCATTCCTGTAGCAGCCCGTCCACACATTTCCATTTTTAATTTCAAAATGTTATTAACAACAGGCCAATGTCACAGTTCACCACATTGATGAAAACAGCCACTAGGGCATAATCACACTTTTCCATTACTCCATTACATTGTGTGTGCGCATGCGTATAGTGAGAATCAGAAGATCAGTGTATGGCAAGAAACAGTTTTTATTATATTTCAGAATGACAAATAGTTATGGACATTACTTTTGTTGTTTCAATACACAAGCGGTTCTGTATGGACAATCATTAGGTAGATGAAAACCAAAATAAAATAATTTGTACACATATTTTACAATACAGACTGTAGTTCCTCACTGGCTAAAGCAATATGCATTATGCAGGAAGGTATTGCTATTCATATAGTACAGCTAATTACAATTGATATGAAAAAAAGCAAAAAATAAGTTATTTAAATATCAATTACATACACAGAATGTGCAACTTCTGCTAAGCATTTCGTATATGTAATTAATCATTTATTTTTTATATGACTGCAAAAACAAACTGGAAGTGAGTAACTGGAACAGTTTAACCCGTGAATGGTTATCAAACTTGGCATTGGGAACTCAATACTATAATAAAATACCAGCAAAACCCACTGAAACCCTTTACAATACCTGGCAACAAATGTCCATTGATGGACCTGTGAACAAAGTGTAGCCAATTCCGCCCCAAAAACAGCTAGATTTACCCTCTAAAGTGCATTTACAGTGTCAGTATTTCTGTCTTTACAAAACATCTTCTTGGGTCTTTTACTCGTTTAATAATGACCCCCCCCCCCCCCACACTATCACTTTCTCCGAGCACCACTTTTGATTGAAGAGAGAAAAGGCATAAAACATTTACATATCAAGTGCCCACTGCAAAAAAAAAAAAGAAAAAGCATCCTCTAATTTCAGCAATAACACTTGGGTCAAATTTTTTAATATGAACACCATGGAATAAGTCTTTAGTTCAGTTCTGACTAGATAGAACCTTACTGTTAGAAATAAGAGGGGAAAAAATACAAAAGTTGGCTTCATTTCATGCAGAGTGCGCGAATGAAAGAGCAATGAGTTTCTGGCTGTTTGCGGTTCCGTTTTTAGCCCAAAGTTTTTGTAACAGGCTGACCCGACGCAGTGTTTCCCTGATTTACTATTTAGTGTCATTGTGTAAGCTGACCTTCAAGGTCAGCTTTTCACCTGATACACCTGTTCTTACCATCCATCCTCACTGTGTTTGAGAAAACTCCAATTAACAACTTTAGATCGGCATCGATTAAATAGCTACAGTATAATGTGTTTAAAAAGTCCCAAACAGCTTATTATTCAGCTATAAATCTAATTCCTCAAACCAACTGTAACCAAAGTGTAGACAGTCTTATACATACCAGATATGACAGGCCAGATGTCAGCTGTCTTTGGAACATTTCTATTTTCTCCTCCCTCCCTTGTCCCACAACCCTCTGCATGGAAAATGTACACTGAATGTTTTTTTTAACAGGGATGTTAAACACAGGACGACGTCTGTGGCGTTCCCTGTGGTTTTGTGGTTTTATCATCTGAGCTTCACAAGTATAGACACCACAGTCCATCAGACTCATGTGTTGTGGTCCACATCCATGTGTAAGGTTGAAATAAGCTGGCTGTGTGTTTGTGTCCATATTTCAAATCTCAAATATTTCTCACACACATTCAGAACAACAAGGCTTGCACCTTGAGCACAGTTCAGCCCATAATATACATACATTTTATTTGATTAAGCTATTCTTTCGTAATGGTAAGGCAACTTAAAATGTGCTTGGATACACTGGGAATGTATTGTTTCTGTGCAAGCTGATTGTTATTACTTGAGTGAAACAGAGCTTTCTGTAAGACTTGTATTTGTATCAGCACAGGGTGTGCATCCAAGATATGCAGTGAAATAGGACATACAGTATAATATGAAATATAAAGGTGTGATGTCAGCTGTTTCAGCTTAGAAATGACTGAGTAGCTGGCCTCCAAATAAGGCAGCAACATTCAAAAGGCAAACACATTTTTTTTTACATATAAATCATTTTAAAATGAAGATATGCATAATGCTATAATACAGAAACATTATACAAAATAAGCCATCTAAAAACCGCCAATTACTCATAGTTCGGTGTATGTATTAAGTTGATTAAAAAGTCCAGATATTAAGTGGATTCTGTCATCGTCGTTATGAACCTATTAGTGGGAATGAAACACTTAATGAGGAGTAAATCACTTTGGCCGAGCTACTTCCTTTAATAAAGACCCTCTGATAATGTTGCCTTGCCACAAAAAGATGAAAATTAAGCACTTATGAAATATGCAGGAAGTAAACTGTCCTTTCTGTATTTAAAAATCATCCATCCTACAAAAGAGTGTGCTATCGTTCTTCAAGGCAGATCCAAGTCTTTGTTTTCAGACTTTGGGGGCGTCTTCAGAATGGAAGCCATCCCAGTGAGTCTACAGTCCTTTTTCTAAGAAGGCATCTGATATCTTGTCTTGGCTGTTAGGAAAAAAAACTCCTCAATGCCGTAAACATTTGAGAAAAGACAGAGCGATAAAGAGAGAAAATCAGAGAGCAGGGGGGGCTCACTTTAAGTCTTTTGACACATGCGAGACAGGAAGTACTGTAGTGCTGTGGTCACTGGTGTGATCGTTGGATTCCTGTGGCCAATTAGTCTTTGGCCACCTACCTAAATGAGATGGTGCTGACCAGTGAGTTGATACCTGTTATTTTATACGATTCCACCAACACGGTTAGGACTGCGCCGCTCTGTGCGAGCCGACCAATCGTGCCTCACTGACCAGCCGGCGAGCGTGTCTCTCATCCCGCACCCCCGCTTCCCACACGCCACTCTCTGTTAACGAGGCCACACGACTCAGCGTGTCAACTCCTGCCGCCGCCAGAGATGTGGCGTACATTGGCAGGCCGATGGAGGTGAGCCAATCGGAGACTGTGTTGATGTTACCCGAGGGCAGAGGCTTCCGGCACATCTCTGTCAAACCTCCGGAAGGAATCTGAGTGACAAAATGGGGCGAAAAGGCATTAGTTACAGTGGCTACGATGGAGATGTCACATTACGGGATATACATATATATATATACTTCATTTTATTTTGTATTTTTTAGCCAAATCATATAAAGTTATCTGGTGGAAATAGACTTAATTAAGTCTTGAGTTTTAGCCTACTTACAACAATAATACAGAGTACAGGGAAATTACTGTCTCACAACTGGCCTTTCCAGGATAGCCTAACTAAGCGTTTATCTGCTCTAGAATTCCAAAAAAAAACAGCTCCAACATTGATATGGAGTTGTCAGGAAAATCAGTGCTGTTGCCTTACAGCCATGCGGTGTTGTTTACGCAGCTCTTTGACTCGGAGCTGGTCCATGGTGGAGGCCACGTCCTTGGCAGGCTGCCCCAAGTCTTCAGAGTAACGCTGCACAAGCGGCTGGGGGATGCCACACCGGCCATGCTGGAGGAGAGGAGAAGAGAGACATTAGATGGAACTATACTGTAAGAGAAATACATTTCAAACCACATAAATAAACAAGTATATGTTTTCAATGAAGAGGATATTATGCAGACATTTTTAAGCACCAGAAGGCAGTGGAAAGACAACCAGAGAGGGGCAGCATGAAGTGGGCTGACGTACAGGATCATTTTGACTTATTACAGTCATTATGAAGACAGAGATCTGGTTGTTCATGAATGAATGAATGAAGCAGGCTAATGGTGTCAAATTACATCTCTAAGAACATCTTCTGGCAAAGTAATGAGCACAATTCTAAAAGGAATCAGAGAAATATGGAACAACACAGAATAAGACACTATATTTATATTCAGGTCCGTTCCGGCTTCTACACAATACATTATCAATACCATAATTTCTACTATTGTTACTGACACTGAAAAGTACAGCTAGTTTATGTTTTGTATGCCTATTTCTGCGATTAACATTGAGCTGTATCTTGTTTTGCACTAATACGTGGGAGCATATTTTACGAGCAGCAACTATGTGAGGGATAAAACGGAGAGCTCTGCTGAACTTTTGAAACATGTTTTCTTGTTCCTTCTCTCTCTTTGTGTAGACACCTGGACAGATGGCAGGTTTCCAGCAAGGCCTGGTTTTGGTTGGCCAAACTGGATCAAAGGGTGGGTGGAGGAACTGATCTCTTTGGAGAGACGGATGTAGTGCAGGTCATAGACGGGGCCCGGATGCCTTTATGTTACCAACAATAAACACGTTTCAAGATAGTATAGTAATTTGAGTTTCTCTTGTCTTGCCTAGGGCTGGATATTGTTTCTAATAACATCCGTGCCAATATGATATCTGAGATTTGGTGTCTTTACCACCGTGGTGCTTTTTTGATAGCTTCATTTTATGTATTTTTCGAACTCATAAGTCCGCCAATTATTTTTTTAATTTATACCAGCAAATACCTCAAAGTAGTGGATACACGTTTTAAACCATGCTACTTTTGATACTCGACTGATATCTGATACCAAGTAGCCAAATTCTTATCATATTTACTATTTCTTAAATACTTGCAGGTATTCAGTTTTAAAACGTTTTCAACATTTGTAACCTGCAGGACCTCTGATACCAACGACTGTACGTGCGGCATCACACCCTACATGTTGCTATTACATTAGCAGTGTGCCTCTCATGTCCCTGCCAACCCACTTCTGACTAATCGGCACTAAGCAGAGCTGTGCTGTGGTCTAACGCATTATTTCTCACCTCATCTCTCGATGCCTTTCAGTGCTCGTTGTTTTCCCGCCAGTGTCGGGGGCTCCAGCATGTTAAAGGAGCCCAGCCTGGGGTCTGGCAAGTAGCAGAGGGTTTTATAAACCTGTCTGCCTTCAGTAAGATTGAGCCCATAAACTTAACAGTCTGAACCGCATCATAGTGAGACTGAGTCCGAAGTCTTTCCCTCAGCTCCAGGAAGCTTTATTTACTATTGTGAATACACACTCAACCTCACTCACAAATGCATACAAACCCCCCCCATAAACGTTAGACTCTATTAGTCTCCATTTCTAAACTAAATGACTTCCAAAGCAAAATGCTGGTGTTGTTCGACTTAGTCATTCCAAGCTCCAGTCAAATTATGACTGAGTTAAGCAAGGCATGTTACGATGCTAAACTAAAAGGGCCCGACGCCAGACCAGTACAGCCCAGAGCTGTTTTGGAGCCCCATTTTCACATAACCATAGAATTATGACGTAATCCGATTTTGTTATGTATTGGCTATGATGGGGTTTTTCATAGAAATCCTCACCTCATCTCTATTCCTTAGTGTGTGTATGTTTATTTCAATGGTCAGCGATTTTTCTTATCTCCCGTTTAGATTAATGATACTTTGCTAACCTTGTCAGAATAGGGCTCCTCCGTAAGATCGATGCCCTCAGCCTCCAGCCGTTGTTCCAGGAGGGTTAGCAGGTCAGGACTCATCTTGGCATGGGAAACCTTCCTTGCAACAGCCACCTTGCCCCCTCGATCTGAGAACCACGGAGGCTGCACTGCTGGTAGAGTGTCTGACTCCTCGCCCATGGATGAGGCGGATGCGGTGGATGAGGTGGCACAGGGGCTGGCGGGGGTGCTCGGGGTCTTGGCAGGCAGAGCTGGGGCACCGTAGCTGGGGCTGCGAATTATAGGGCTACTGGGATGAGAGCGGGTGAGGGAGTGGGTAGGAGAGGCAACAGGTGATGGCGTGAAAGGCAGGGGGAGAGGGGAGTGACGCAGGCCGTTGGCTAGTCTTTCCTTTGACTTCTTAGCAGGAACGGGAGGAGGGACTGGAGGCTTTTTGGAGTGAGTCCGGATGACCCTCTCCCCACTTGCATTAGAATCAGGGGGACTTGAAGAAGGACTGGAGAGGAGCTCTGCAGGGTTGGAGGACTGCGTGGTATGACAAGAGGGGCGGAGAGGCAGCTGGGAGGGCACGGGTGGTCTGTTGGCCCTTCCTTTTGGGCTTACTGTTGGAGTCCCATTCTGAGCTGGGGAACCATGATCTCTAAAGACCTTGGTGGGACTACTGTTGCCTGATTTGGGTCCTTCCTTGGTTAGCTTAAGCTCCACACCTAGATCCTTCCGCTCAATGTTTTGCTCCCAGTGCAGATCTCCCAGAGAGTGGAAGCGTTTCCAGGGTCCAGCGGGCTGTGGGGTTCCATCCAGGTCCTCACAGCTGCGACTGGCTGGGATGGGGGACCGTCTTTGGGCTTTGCGCAGACCAAGTAGGTTGAAGCCCTTCAGGGAGGGTTTGATGAAGAAGCTCTTTGGGAACTTTGTGCGCTGGTTCTTGCTGTGCTGTTGCAGAGCCTCTGTTGAAAGGGTCATGGGCAGTGTGGGGTAGTCGGGAGACTGGAGGCCTGCTGAAGAACGGGAAGCCTTTCTGCTCTTACCTGCAAAATCAAGACATTTATCCTCTTTTAGCAATAACATGAAGACAAATTCTCATTTTTTTCCCCCTCATTTGTGAAACTGCTAACAGGGACATGTAATTTCTCAGCTTGCTACATCCTTCAAAAATCAGATCCATATTAATAAACTGCATATGACTCAGCAGTACTATGTTGCTGCCTTGCATCCACACTATTTTCCTGTATTTATGGTGGTGATCATGTATGTTTACAGCACTGGAAAACAAGTTAACATGAGTTAAGTCATGTGGAAAAACTACTCATGAGCATCATATATCCTTATTGTTTAAGGCTCATCTGTAAACCACAGTCAAAAGCAGAGAAATGATTATAGAGAAGGGGTTGAGTGCCAATGGGATAAGATTAAGCTTTTTGAATTATGACAGAACTGGCTGATTTGTTGTTGGCACAGCAGCAATCCCAAAATAAAGATATCTGGACGGGTAATTCTGAAACTTTGGAACAAAAGCAACTTACCATCTATCCTCTGGCTTACAGAGCTAAATGGATTGATGAAATGGATGGGTGCCACGTAGTGTGGCTTGCCAAAGAGTTTAAACGGTGGGATGACAGAAAGCTGTTCATTAGATGGAATGTTGTGAAATATCTTAATGATTCCCAGAAAATGTCTACCCAAGTTGTCAGCACTTTACGTTACAGCTCGGTAATAACATGGTCAGGTAATAGTTATGTAATAAACAGGTAACAATTAAGTAACAATAATGTAGTAATAGCTTGGTATTAACAATGGGTGTATCTGGGTAATATTAGACTGAAAGTTAAGTAAGTTTACAGGGGGCCAAAAACAAAGGGTAATAAGGGTGAAACACATTTAAAGACATTTAAAATCAGGAGAATTACATACGCTGAATGTCCAATAAAACCATTCAAAATGAATTTGTCAATGACTTCCGTTTCGTTGATGCATTCAAGGATTGTACAGCAACATCGTCATTGTCTACTATGATGCGTTTTATATGCTGAAATATAACAGTATGTAGACTATAAACAATAATTTGACCAAACTGATCAAAATATTTAAAAAAAAATCAATGAATTTTTTATATTAAAATGAGAGTAATAGTAAATTGATTTAACATACACGTGGAAATGATGAGTGAAAGTTCGATAGATTGCAGAATACATTTGATGATGTGAGGAAGAATTTATTACATCTAGTAACAGGGAAACTGATCAGAGACACGTATGTTAAAGGAAGGTCATTTAATTAAAAGAGCATACATTCAGGGTTCTACAGTGACTTTTTATTCCCCAAAAGGAGAAAGTTTGAAAGACGATATGCGGTATGATTTGAGTTAATTTAAATTGAAATCAAACGTTTTCCTTTGCCAATTCTCTAGACTTATAAATATTCAGAAACATCCATTAATATACATTACTATTTTAATGTTTGATGAGTTTTTACAGGAAGGAGAACTGTGGAACCCTGAAACTGCAAGAAGAAATGCAGAATGTTCACTAAATGTTATGCAGCTGGTTTGTGAACAGTGTTTAGTGGCATGGAAGGAGAAACGGACAGAAAAAAGGCGAAACATAAAAAAAAAAAAAAACAAGCAAGCAGCACCAGAGTCCTTTTTTTTTTTAAAGAAGTGGCTTTTATTCCACAACCTAAATCTCTATTGTGGCAGATTGTTACTGTTGAAACCTGAATGACACACTGACACACACACACACACGAAAGGGAAACCCAGTAGTTACACTGGAACCTAACAGATAAAGAGAGAAGACGGGGTTTGATAAAGCTGTGGTTTATGAGTTATGGAGCTGTTAAAAAGCATGCACTGTGTGGAATAAAGAAAGCACACACTCGTATGCAGGAGAATAGAGCCATTTCAAAAATAAACCTAAATCTCACATATTACACTTCAATAAACTTCTATCATCAGAACTCTCTTACAATCTATGCACTGCTATTTAAAAAATATTCTCATCCACATCTTTTTTGAGGCACATCTTATATGGTTGTTTGTGCAATATAGTCACTGAAAACAAGTAAAGTGACACATTGAGATGATATGAGGACAAGAGATTGAAATGGCAGCTGTCATCCGTTACCTGACTAGTGCATTTTTTTCAAACCTTATCAGCCTAAAGAATCACCACTGCAAAAAACAACATTTATTGACATGCTACTCTGCAAGCTATTTTCCTATATTAAAAAACACTTAACAGAAATACTCTTTGAGCCCATAATTATCCTCCCGGTATTCTTTCACCAGCCTCGCATCCACAGGCCGCAGAGCTGGAATTCTGAGTCCATGACTGGGCAGTGAGTTTGTTCTCATCACAACAGTTCTGTGCAAGGATCTCTCCCTCCGTCCTCCCAGCATTGTGGCGTGGACTAGGCTTAGTGGTCTTGGACCTGGCTCCCTCTCAGTAAAAATTGGACTTTGGCACTGATGACACATAATGCCTACAAGATGGAAAGAGGGGTGAAGAAAGTGGCGTGAAAGGATAGTTAAAGTTTATAGAGTATGAGGTGATAAGCGGGATCAGTCTCTAGAGCACCCATACTAGAAGGGAAAAAGGTGAGGTTTGAGAGGAAGATATGGCAGCAAAAAGGAGCTTTTTGATTGGAGGGCGCTGGTCCAGAGGAGTGAGATGGGCGAGGTGTTGCAGAAGTGGCAAGAGACAGAGCAGAGGCGCAGGACCACAGAGGGAAAAGGCGAAGGAGGACTAGGTCTTAGCCTTGGATCTTGGCGGTCTAGACTAAAGCAAAGCTATCATTACCATTCTCCAGGTTCTCATTGCTCTCGTAGCACCCAGAGTCTCGCGGGGAGTCTCCCACCAGGCCCCGACCTTCAGACAGCAGCTTCTCCTGGGAGCCCGACAGGCCGCCACGCTCTGGATCACTGCTGCCTGAAAATACAAAGAGACAGAAAAAAGCAACATGATGAAATACAGGGAGTGCTTTAGTACTTAGGAATGACAACTCCAGGTATGTAGAGCTGCATGCTTTGAGTTGGCAACTTGTTTAAGTACACATGATACACAGAATACACAGGGACGCATTCAGGGGCAAAGATGATACATCTTTAACAGCCAAGGAGTTTTCAATGAGTTAGAACTATCACACGAGTGTGTTCTCTCGTGTGATAGTCTCATCTCGTGTGATAGACATTTTGTCTCATCTAGACAAAATGTTTCGGTGTTTTTACTACTTACTGTCGTACTCCTGTAGCAGCTCGACAGCAGTGAGCAGCACGGCTCTGTGCTGAGGATCTTTGATGTTCAGCTCGTCCAGGTCCTCCTCTTCCAACAACTTAAACGTGTCCAGGTCCTCGTAGCCGTTGAACAGGAAAGTGGGCATGTGCTCCTGCGTGACAGAAACGTTGCGGCTGAGTTTAACGTTTTTTTTTGAGGAGCTTAGAATGAGAGTTTTCTGACGAGTGAGGAAAAGAATTCACTTTGGATCTAAGTCACGGGACCAAGTAACAAAAACTTAAATACATAAAATACAAACACGTAGGTGGGGTAAGGCGAAAAAAAAAAACAAGAGTAGGCTACATACTTGTTTGTCATCTGCTCATAATTTCCCATCCATGCTGTGTATTTTTAAAATCACCGGTGAGCCAAATCTAAACTGCTATTTAGATTTTTAGATGGCATGTAATCACTTAAAGCCGTAGCTAATTTAGCTATGACTACATCACCTATCAACACTCATTAATATGGCATAAACCATGTCCTGTCGACAGACATGTAAAAGTGAGTTGTAGTAACGTTAGCGAGGACGCCAAACCAATCAAGTAACAGCGCAGAGTTTGCGGCCACAATCCTGAGCTGTTCAAGCGATGATCAAACTGCCAGGACTTGAAAGGGAAACCCCGCCAACGTAATGTGGTAACAAGAGCCAAAAGGTGTAGACAGTTACATCAAAGTGTTCCTCAACCACAGAAGACAAAGTTTTACACACTAACACAAACAAAATCAAAGCTAGTCACCCGAACCACCATGTTATCTGGGAGGGTGCAGGCAGCAACTGCTTCCACTTTGAATATTGCTGGGCTTCATGTTTGTGTGACACACGCACTTTGTTGGACGAATACATAGACTGTGTGTCACCAGCGAGACCATCAATTACAATGGTGGAGAACATAGAGAACTCTGTGTCCCTGTTCTATATCTGCTGGACTAAACAAAGGACCACCAACTAACACAAACACAGGCAGCTGGGTCCTCTCCCTCACAGCATCTTTTGTCTTGTTGGCCTGTCGAAAAAAACTTAAACATGTTTCAAATCCAAAGATGTCTTTGGCAGATAAACCAAAAGTTGTGGAGAGTCACACTTTATGGCACTGCTGATGTGTGTTCCAAATGTTGACTTTCCAGTTTAACCAAATGTTAAACCAAATCATTTCCAAAAGCACACAACGATATTCTTACTCTTTTCATCTGTAGCAGCACAATCATAACTCATCATCAGCACAAATCAAGGAAAAGTGTACTTAAAATACCCGGCACACTGACCGCAAACTGGAAACTCTAAAATGTTGTGTAAGTGTTTAGTCTACCTCGCCCACTCCAGGAATCTGGTGGTGACTAATAAGTGGACATGAGTTCCCTGATGCACTTGTATCACCCAGACTCGCAGCTCATGAAGCCTGTGCTTTAACATTAATAACGCTCTCTGGATCTTTAGGTGCCGACTTGGCCGTTAGGCTGGCCAAAGATAAAACACGCAACCCACAAAGTCTTTTTCTCTATTTGGGGGAAGTGAGGCCTGCTGGCTGCCTGAGTGGGAGGAAATGATATCAAGCTCACAGCGATGTGTAGGTGTTGATGAGAGATGAGAGTTGTTTGTTGGGGCGTGGCCGTGAGAATGCGGGCGTTAATGTTTATACATCAGTGTCAGATCAAACATCCCAAGCCGTGCAGCCTGTAATTGCCTACACTGTATTCATCTCTGCTCGTCTGCAAATGTGTTTTCAAGATATTTGGCTCAAACTATATTTTAATTGACTTCTTAAGATTGGTTTTCTCCTATTTTAGGTGCCAGATGGGTGTAATGTCCCAGGTTGAACAATTCACTGCAAAGTTGAAATAACAAACAAAATCAGTGCAGGTAAATCTACTAAACTTTACTGGCACTGAAAACTGATGCTATGTGTGATAGTCAATGCTGTCAATACTGTACTTTGAGGTTGATGCGCTCCAGCAGGTCCTCCACTGATGTGGGTTTGGGTGGTCGGCCCTTCCTCCTTCTCCTCACGGGCCTCTTGGGCTTCTCCTCTTCCTCACTCAGCACATCCACATAGATAAACTTGAAGGTGCCCACTTTGTTGTTCAGCAGGCCCATCCACGTTCCCATGGGAGGCTTACTGATGATGTCAATCACATCGCCGCGCTGGAGAATCACAATGAGAAGAAATCAGAAAGAACGACTCAACTTCTGCATTTATATTTGACTGTTTGATTGTTCAGACTAGCTTGGAAATACTGAACAGACAATAAAAAGAGTGACAGCCACAGCTCTACATTCATGCATTCTAGTCTGTGCTGTCATTTCCATGTCCCAGAGTGTGTTTTACCTTTAGTTTGAGGGAGTCCGAGTCGTAGGGGCTGGGGGTGAAGTCTGTATGGACTCTGGCTCGGCCACAGAACGGCCCTCTATAAGGCGGCTCTTCGTCATCACCATCCTCCGACTTCACGCTTTCTCTGTTACTGGCTGACGAGTCAGTGGTGCTCACTGTCTGACCACCTTGACACAAACACACACAGATTTATATAAGCTTTTACAATGACTGGTCACTGTATAATAAGATGCATGTATCAAGTAGCTTTACATTTTAAGTTGTAGGTAAACTATTCAGACTATATTGATTTTATTTTGTGTCTGCAGTGGGAGGAAAACGTTAGCTCCTAAACACTTGTATTACAGCTCCTGGGAGAGTTTTAGTTTTTGCTGCACATTTATTTCTGTATCTGAGAGAAAGCTGCTGAAACCATGTCAGCATGTGGGAATCTGAGAGGGAGGACATCCTACCTAATCATTACCGCATGTTTGCCTGCGTGTTTGTGTGCATGTCCTATGGGTTCTAAAAACGACGTCGGCCAAGTCTTTAATTCACTCTGAGCTTTAGACGATGGAGGGTATTTTATCCACGAACACGGAAACACCAGGATGAAGTGATCAGAAGTTGTAATTAGATAAGACGACCGGAGAGGTCACTTAAAAACGATGAGATCACTAAACATGAAGCAGCTGGTGGGACTGGGTGTGATCGAGAGAGAGAATTGCTCTGCAGGGCCGTCACTCCACAAAAATTATAATTGGTATGCATGTAGTGCTAGAAGGTTAAATAATCTGTGTGCATTTGAAATGTATAGTACAACAGCAAGCAGCACGTCACGGGCACCATCTTGTGTTAAACGTTGTTCAAAACAGGCGGCCAATTTAAGCTATATACTAAATAACAAATTTACTGACATACACTTTAATATTATGTACCAACTCCCCAGAACTACATAACTGTAGTACATCCTTAATTATGTGCCAAAAATGTAAATAACATCAAGACAGAGTCGTTTGAAACAACGAGGAAGTCTTTTAGGATTTTTTTTTCTTTTTCAAGATGTCCAAAATAAACATAAAACTGCATGCTACCCAGCATCCGTTCAAAAACTTCTCGTCTTACTCATTGAACTCTGTCCGCTGAGTGAACTACGCAGACTTTCCACCGAGCCTCCGGCCTTGAGCTTCGGCTTCCCCAGAGAGTCGGTGTCGGGCTGAGGGGACTGAGGAGAGCCAGGGGCTCCGTCCGGACTGGACTGAAAGACAGAAACAGATTGAGAGTTATGAAAGGGTTTTGGCGAGAAAATACAAAAGGAAACGTTGTGCAATTAAAGAGATTAAAGAATGTGAGATGTAAAAGTGTGGTTAAGAAGTTGAGATATGGAAACGAATAAAAGATGAAGATCATAAGTAATGAGGGTTGGAAAAGGTCTGTATTTTTTTCCATTGAAAAACAGGTGTACATGAACGCGATTGTGCATTTTTCACAGTTTTTGGTTAATAATCACAAACTGTTCCAAGATGTATCTTCTTAAAGTTTGTTATTTGTCTGATTTAAAATATATAATACAGGCTCTTGATCTCCCTGAGAACGACAGCACATCTTAAGTGAACCGCCATGATCGACAGCCCAGTGGTTTACACATAAACTAGATCCCTCACTGTCTAATACCCATATGATACATTGACATATACTGTACTGTGTTATATGTATTGCAGTTATCCACTAGGTGGCACTGTTGTCTATAAAATGAGCACGGTTGAGACATCGACACATGGCAATTAATTTGTCTTTGCTCTTTTCCAACCAAAGGCTCAATGACTCATGCCCGGATATGTGGGTCAAAGTGTTGGGACCACCCTGACTGACAGATGTCCGACATGTGCATTAATGACATATTCTGCAACAGGGCGACATCAAACTGGTGTTGCTGGACAGGCCACTAATAAAGCCACAGGATGCCCAGAAAAATTAGGCCAGTGCAGAAGAGACGGCCATTATACTCTCTCACACACTTCCAAGTCTCCATTTCCTGAGCGCTCGCCTTGGGGAGACTTGCATCACTCCATGAGCTCAGCATGAAGCACACACACTCCACCCTACAAACCGAGCCCAGGGAGAGCACAGCAGAGAGAAATCCAAAAAGTGTGTGCGTTTTTTTAGTGCTGCATGTTTATTCGGTAACCAACACAAATATTCCCACCCACTCACAGCCTGTGGACAGTATATGTGGTTTACACTGCAAAACATCCTCTAAATATATAAATTGCAGAACATGGGAGCTTTTATTTCTTTTACAGCTGCACTTGACTCACTGTCAAGGTTTAAAAGCATTTTGTGTTGATTTGTGGGGCCGTTTATGTGTCAGCTGCTCCATTTCAAATAGAGGTAAGGTTTGACTAGGTTTATACATACCTCATTTGCCCTAAAAACAAAGGAAACCTACCAATGTTAAATGTCATCTGAAATTTCTACAAATAAAGCATTGAAAAAGTGCATCCACGTGTGTGTTTGTGTCTAACCTGCTCAGATAAGGAGCTGCTGTATTTCTTCGACATGCGTTTCCTCATCGTCTCCTTGACCGACTTCACCTTCTTGCCCAGTGAGATCCGAGACGTGGTGGGGGATTTGACCACTTCTCTGTATATAGCCTCCTGTTCTTTACTCTGTGATTAGAACAAGGAAAGGCAAAACAAAAAAAGGAATGGACAGAGAGGAAGGAGATGACAGAGAGAGAGAGAGAGACGAGAAAGATGGGGATTAATCAGGGGAGATGGAACAGGAAGAAGACAAAGGGCATAGAGATCACAAAAACAAAAAGGAGAAAACAGGAGAGAAAATGTGGATTTAGTGTGACAGGAGAGTTCATGTTGCCCTCCTTTACAGCCTCTTCCAATTTCACAAGCTGCCAGCACTTACATTGGCCTCCGAGCCCACGTTGACCACATGGAGCGAGCGGTTGGTCAGGTCAAAGCCCCCAAAGCTGCACGTTCTCTGTAGGGGAGCCAAAACACAATCAAATGAGTCACATGGAGAAAGGTCACGTTACAGGAACTCCCCCATCCACACCCACTGTGGGGTCAACTCACAATGATTCATGCTCGACACAACACAGACAGCACTTTGATTCATGTGCATGGGTATATGGCTTGTGTATATATATATATATATATATATATATATATATATATATATGTGGGGGCATGATGTCATATGGGACCTGTGGACAGCCAACAGACATGATGTAACACAAACTTATATGAGCTCCTCTGTAAAATTGCGAGTTACAGCACGGTCCAAGGCAAATGAGCTGTTATGTTGACCGTGGAGTGATGAACGCTGCCGGCTCCAACAAGTTGCTCATATTGCTTTAAAGCTTGAACCCCTGGAGAAAATATTCAAATCAAACCTTTCTTGATGTGGCCAAGCTAAAATATATATTGCACTTTTACAAGTGAATTTATATGCATTGCTTTTCAGCCTGATGCAAAACATTGTGTGGTTAATTATGAGAATGTAAAATAGGGCTTAGTATGCAAACATGCACAACATATAGGTTGCTTAGAGCCGGGGGATATGTTATTCTCATCAGAAACATCTTTAGGGAGAGTAAATTGTTTCTGCTGAGAGGACAGGGTGGATATGGAGACTGGTTTTCTTGACTTTAGGGGTCAGCAGCAAGATAAGGGGTAGACACAAAGGGGAACTGTGACATGAAAGGAAAGAAAAGATATCCAGGATCTTATCACTGTGCTGGCTTTGACTTTTTCCAATCCTCCCTAAGCTCTGCAGTAAGTCACACACAAACATGTAGACAGAGACGTGCACATACGCATCTGCCAAAAAAAAAAAAAAAAACATTGGTTCAAGTGGGGCACTTGATGGCATTTCTCCTGTGCTTCAAAAGCCATTACTTCTAAACTGCTCAACTAAACTCCCACAAACGCTGGACGAAGATCCTCCGTGTGAGAGCGCAGTGCGTGTTCAGAAAATAGTTTGTTTATTAGATGTCCACAGCTGCAGTCCACATCACAACTTCCCAGGAAAAGCACAGTTTGGAGAACAAACATGTTTGAAGAGACGTCCAAAAAGAACTCTGAATGTGATGGCGATGTTCGATGGAATGGACATGCACCCAGCAAAAAAAAAAGTCTCAAAGATAATTATAGGAAACCAAAAAAAACTAAAGAAAAAAATATATATATACATCTGCAACCATAGAGGCACGGGCCAAAAAAGAACACGAAAAGCAACAGAAAAAAAAGTGGATTTTTTTGGAGAGTTTTTGGATGACGACTTCCGGTGATTTCACTAGAACACGATAGGATTCAGGTACCCTCAAAGCTGCAGGATAACTCCACTACATTACCACCTAGAATATGTGTTATGTGTTAACGCAGGTTGTTGTAAACTTGCATTTTACATTCACTGTGGTATGAGTTAGTATTAGTATATGCACATGAGCTGTTTTTCTGTCATTTCTGTTTTTGTTGCTATACTCAGCCTTTCAAAACCAATTAATACTTAACTTAATACGGCCATTTATTGAACACGTCCCTGAGGCTTCGTGCTGTGCAGTTCTAAAAAGCAAGCTTCAAGATTGTAGAACATCTCTTTTGCCCACAAGGATGTGCCAGAGTTCTTCAGAGATGTGACATTTATACAAAAAAAAAAAAAAAAAGCACTGATAAAAACCTCTGCTGTAACTTAACCTTTCAAGTGGGCCATTGCACATTCCATAACCATTTCATATTCTGCTGAGATAAAAAGAATGTTCAAAGCCAAAGGCATTCACTTAAAGGTCATAGGAGATGACATTCCTCTAAGGGCAGTTAAGTCTGTGATAAATACACCAGCCACTGGGCTCTTTCTAAACATGAGCACAGCTGCAATGCTTTTAAGCGGATTTCTTACACACGCAATAATTAGCGGATAAGTTGAAGTCATTTGACCTGTGCGTGTGTCTTGTGTGCGTTTGCTGTATCTTCCCCCCTTTGACCTCCGAGCTATTCTGCAACTTTGAAGCACCGATTCCTGCTTACACGAGGCGGCCGATTTAAATCTCATGGTCTGAACTCACAGACTTCTGCTGGATGCGCAACAGCACGCGCTTGGTGCAGCGGTCCACACTGGCCGCCCACTTCCTGTCCGCCTCGCGGTCCTCCTCCAATAGACAACGGCGCTCAGCGCGGCTGAGGGTAACCGGGCGGACCAGCTGGGCCCAGTTGAGGTGACCGTACAGGCTCCGCTCTACCACATAGGTGATGTTCAGCTCACTGACTGCCGTTCGACCTCGCAGCCTGCGTGAGGGGAACACCCAGCCCCCTCCCCCACTTCCAAAACCTTTTGATTTGGCTACATCACAGCGGGCAGGGGAGGAGGGGGTGACAGACAGAGGGGAGATGGGGGTCTTGGAGTTGCGCGAGCGTTGGTACAGTAGGTGTTTGGTGGAGTAAGCGTAGTTGGGATCAGGTTTCCGGTGCGTCCAGCTGCCATGGTGGCGATTGGCAGGTTGGGGTTTGGGGCTGCCTTGTGGACCGTCATCCAGGGAGATCAGGAGGCGGGACTGGGCATGGGGTTTGGGACGGGGTTTAGTGAGGCCATAGTAGGCGTAGAGAGCCTCGTTGTTACTTACCCCATGGGAGATGGAGCTCAGGGCCTTCCGCATCTCGCCGTCGGTTGTGGAGCGTGACAGCTTTCCTTCGTCGTCGAATCCACAGCCATCCAGCTCTGAGAAGGAAGAGCCACTACCTCCCACGACAGAATTGGAGCCTCCCAGGCCCCCAGAGCTAACTGGGGTTCTCTTGGGGGGGCGGATGAGGCCGTGGGTACTGGAAGATTTATTGAAGGTTTTGACCAGCTTGTGTCCGGACCAGGTGCCCAGGCTGCTGGAGGATGGGGAGTTGGTCAGACTGTCTGTGTCTCCATCCAGAGAGAGTTGATCCTGGGTGAGGGAAGGCAGGGAGATCTCCTGGGGCAAAGGGGGCCTCTTTAGGACCCCTGTATACAGAGCTGTGTTGTCCTCACAGGTGGGAGGTGCCCCCAGATTCAAAAAATCTAGAGAAGAAGACAGAAACCCCAAATAGTTCGTTACTCAAGAGGATTTAGACATCAGATTCTCAGTAGTACCATGACCCATCTGTGGTTTTCCAAACCACAGCTAGCCAGCAACAATTTCAAAACACATTCTTAAAGTCTGAGTATTGGGCAAAACCCATGACAGACGAAAATGTAATACTTTGGCATACAAAAACAATCATTCATTTCCAAAACCCTTAGTTGTAAAAACATTTTATTATAACTGAACTTTAACTTAATTTTAGTCAGAACAAAAAGCTAAATGTAGTGCTCAAAACTGATGTTTTTAAACATACAATTTACACAAGCAATGTGCGCCTCAAACAGAGACCTTACTGTGACCTGGAAAATACAACATGTGAACAATAATTGGCTGATAAACACATGTTGACAGATTTAAACTATGTTGAACTGTGGGATAATCAAAAGGAACCCATTTTCAGAAAAAGCCTTACAAACCTTCAGAGCCATGTTTCTTGCCCTCCTCCACCTTGATGAGTTTTTTCCTGACCCGGCGTGTAGAGTTAACCAGCTTGTGAAGCCGTTTGAACTTCACAGAGTCCTCTGATTGCTCATCGTCTGACTGTTCACGAGACTGGTGGGAGAGAGAGAGAAAGAGGGAGGGATGCTATAATAAAAAAGGGACATAGAGTCAAGGCAGGAGGTTCTTCTTCAGCGTAACATTTCACAATGTTAGTGAAACAGAAATGAACGGTTTTGTTTCAAATGTATTTGATATAAAAAGTAGTGAGACAACAAAACAAACGTTGGCAAATATATTTTGACGTTTTGAAGACGCTGTTGTAATGCGAAAGATGGGAGCATTGTTTAGGGTGGAGTCAAAGTTAGTGAGGTGAGACATGGAGGGTTGGAGGGATGGTGGCGCACCTCATCATGTGAAGTTCATATTAATAGTAAACACAGAAAAACATGCACTGAAATAATAAACCAGACGAAACAGTGATTTAAAGAAAAGAAATGGTAAAACTGAATGGCAAAGTAAATCAGTTTGACAATAAACGGTTTAATTGGTGTTAGGTTGCCGCTCCACTGACGGCCACTGCATTTAAACTCTTCTCATCTGGAGATGAAAAGAGACTGAATAATGAAGTCATAAACAGTTTCATCACCCACACAAACACCCCCCCACGCGCACACACACACACACGCACACACACACACACACACACACGTTTCCCAAGCTGTGCATGTATGCATACGTCTGTGCGTAGTCTCACAATAGGCCGCTATGTAATGAGGCTGATGAGCCGAGCTTTGGACTAAAGACTGTCTGGCAGGAACTGCCACCATTAAGCTCAAACAACCTAATTTGTTTGTGGTTATTTACCGCTGGTTTCCACAGCAGCACCAGCTCTCTTGTCACACGCTGGCAGTTCCACTCTCGGGGTTGACTGCATTGCTTGCAAAAGGGACACACATGCATGCTTCATATACACAAAACTAGACAGAGCAGGCCTGCAGGGCTTAGCTCCCTGTCTTATAAAACGCAGTCTCTTCTCCCGCAGCTCTAAAGTCAACAAGGAAGAAACCGCTTTTTCGCTGTTTTCGACCACAGGCCTGGCTCAGAGGCTGCTGACATACAGTAGGAATGATGTTAGTGTGGCTTGGTTGGAGCAAACAGATCTGACATTGACCACAAATCCTGGATGGCACCAAACCACCTTAGCAACATCATGATGTTTTGATTCCTGCAGGCATGAGAATGTTACAACATCGTACACATTGTTGCCAAGCTGGAAAAGGGAACAACACATTAATCGATGCGGCATCTTGCAAGTCCATTCAACCAAACCTACCTCCCTTTGCCTCCACTTCGCCTCTTTTAAAGGGTGCGTGATCAACTTTCAGGTCTTTTGTCGTATCAGCCCAGCAGAGCAGAACTAGGGTATAGCCATTTATTTGGCCTCTGACAAAACTGCGGAAATAAGCTCTGAAGATCCATAACTCCCACTGGCTCAGTTCTCCCTGAAAAACCCTCAACCACACAATTCTGGCTACAGCGGGGACTCCTTCAACTTTCCATTTGCTCTGGACAATGCTTGAGTGTATTTGCTTTAGAGAATGTACTGTAATAAGTCTGTGCCAGCGGTGGTAGAAAGACACCAAAGGGTGGATTGGTCTCTCTTAATAACTATTATTGAGAAGTGTTGCACATGTGGTCACTTTGTTTGTTGTATATGGGGATAACTATGTGCAGGACTACTGCCTTAGTAATGTCATAGTTAACCCCACATGAGTTGCTCTTCGCCTTATGTGTATGACGGAGAACAGGACTAGGAGACGGTAAAGAGGCGACAACGATATACAAGACCTAACCCAGTCCTGAGGAAAACCATCCATGCAAATGACCACATCAGCAGGGGAAAAGATACACACACACACACACACACACACACACACACACACACACACACACA